ATTGGCTTAAAAATGGGATCAACGTTCAGCCGATGACATGTAGCTTCTAGAGGGATGCTGGGCATATCATAAGTTGTCCATTTGAATACATCGGCATACTCTCTTAACAGTGAGATCAATTCCTCACATTGTTCGGGCTTCAGTGAGGCTCCTAAAAGGAAGTATTTTTCTTCATCTACATCTAAAGGTACTTTAGACAAGTCTTCGATGATTCAGTTAGCAGGCATCTCTTCTTGGTCCAAAGGTACTTTGGACAAACTTTTTGCAGCTAAGTTGGTCAGCTTTTTCCCATGGCCTAGAAGTACTTTAGGCTCGACCTCGATAGTTTGGGCGGCAGGTCTTTCATCCTCGTCGACCGTCCTACTAAGGTTTGGTTTCTATTTTTTAGTTTCCAGAGCTGATCCCCTGTCTTGCATTTCCCCACTATCATTTCCCTTTACAGAGGCCAATAAACAAGTTTGGGAACAAACTTGGTCTCCTCGAATGTTCTCTATTCCTTCTGACAAGGGGAACCTAAGCATCTGGTGGTACATTGATTGTACTGTCTTTATTTTGTGCAACTAGGTTTCTCCCATTATTGCATTGTACGCCGAGGTCGTATCTACTACAAGAAACTCGGTCATGATGCCAATAGGCTCGGTTTTCACCAGAAGCATGATCTTTCCCCTTGGAAGGATGGTTTTTTTGTTGAAGCCGACCAAATGGGTATTAGCTGGCTTGAGATCGAGCTTCTAGAGAAGATCCATGTACATAATTTTGGAGGAGCTTCCAGGATCGATCAATACCCTTTTAACATCATAGTTTACGTTTCGAAGGGTAACCACCAAAGTGTCATTATGCGGCTGGTGTATCCCGATAAAATCCTGTTTGAAAAAATAGATTGTCTTGGCTGCGTCTTCTAACTTCATCCTCTTGCTCCTAACTTCAGGGGATAATCGCAGTTAATAAATTTCTCTCTCCTTGGCCGTTCTCTGAATGTACGCCTTCTCAGCATTATTTGTCGCCATTTGGGGATTTGTTGCAGCTTGGATCATGTCAATCACACCTACCGTTGTGGTTTGGTCAGCTTGAGGTTTAGCCTTTCCGTCATTAGCTCGGTCACCGCCACTCCCTATTAACTATGCAAGATGCCATGCCTGGACCAAACTCTTCTAAGTGCTACTTTAACGACTGGCAGTTCTCGTTCATATGCCCCATATCCTGATGATAGGAACATCTAAAATTATGATTCCTCTTCGAAGGGTCTCCAGTGAGCTTGTTAGGCCACTTGAAATACGACTTCTCCTTAATCTGAGTCAATATTTTATATATTGGCTCTTTGAATATTGTGTTTACTCCTACAAAAGGGAATTTCGAGGGGAACCCCCTCCTTATCTTTCTTCCTCCAAGCATCTCTGTTCAACTCAACTTCTTTATCTCGACTGAATTGTTTTCTACCTGTATGTTCCTTCCCTACGTCTCTAGATAGGTCATCATTGACTTTGGCGTACTTCTCAATTCTAGCCAATAACTCCTCCATGTCTATTGTAGGTCTTCTGGTAAGGGATTGATACAAAAGGTTCTCTTTTGGCAATCCAATTTTGAAGGAGGCCACAACAATCTCTGGGTTACAAGCCTTAATTTCTTTCATTGTTTCCCAGTAACGATGAGTGTATTCTCTCAATGTTTTAGTACTTCTTTTCTTTAGCGTTAGCAGTACCCCAACATCTTGGGGTTATCTGTTGCTTGTGATGAACCGAGCTGTGAATTGTTAGGCGAGCTGTGCTAGTCCATCTACTGAGCCCTTCAGTAGACTGTCGAACCACTTCATGATTGACTCCCCAAGGCTGCTGGAAAAAATGGTACAGAGTAACGACTCATTCTTCCAATGAATGATCATAACTTATCTATAATGTCAGATGTGGGAGGTCAGATCTGTCTTTATGTCAAATAATTTAAAGCTCGACACTGTAAATTTACTCGGGATCTGTCCTCTCTCAATCTAGCTGGTGAAAGGGGAGGACTCTGCACCGTTTTCGTATTCACCCATGGCTCTGCGGACTAGGTCCCTAGCCGACTTTTGCTCTGGTCTCCTTAGTTGGTTATTGAGTTCTTCGGTTATGAATTGCTTCTAGGAGTCCTCATCTTGGTCCCGATGTCATTTTTGTTTATGTTTTTCCTCGGCGTCTTCTCTTTTACTTCGCTTCCTTTCGTGACTCACCCATCTGTTTTCCTTGCTACGCCTCTCTCTTGGTCATTTCCTTTAATCTGGCTTTCAATACTTCGTTCTCTTTCATCAAGTCTTTTTCCCTGGAGTAGGATTTCTTGAATAACTTGCCATGCGCGTCAAGCCTGTCTTGCAAGGACTGGACCAACTTTGCTAGAGCGGGGTTCTCCCCCTCAGTGCAGAGGGATTCGCCCCAGTCGGCATCGTGTTGACTTTGATGCTTATATGGCTTGAAACTTGCTGAGGACAACTCGTCATCCTCACGTGGCTTGGTTGGACTTTTGTCCATATCCATCCTAATGTCGTTATCGGATGGAAGTGACACTTTGTAGTTTTGATCGGAATCCTCCAAGGCCAAACTACCCACAAGTGAGCCGATGACACTTTTTAATTTTAACATTGGCTTTTTGTTTCGCTTGATGAAAATCTTCCCACAGAAGACGCCAAAATGTAAGATGCAAAAATGAGAATACCTCCTACAAGAACGAAGGATTGATATTCTTGGAAAAAATGAGTTCTGAACTTGATCTTCTAGTCTTTTCTCCCTACAAAATGAACAAATGGTCCAAGGTCGAAGTGCTTCGACCGAAGGCACTCCAATGCTTAAGTCAGTAAGAGAATTGAGTTAAATGCAAGAAAACAAGGAGAGTTCAACGTAATTTTCACCTTGGCTCCTAATGCCTTTTATAGAGTTCTACTTAGTTAGGTTTTCCATAATTTTTTATTCGAGGTGGTACACTTCCTTTCGATCAGGTGATTCTGTCCAAGAAGTTGCTGAGATCTCTCTAAGAATTCCTTCTATCGAGTCTATAATCATGCCAATTAGTTTGACCAAAATGCCTAGATTGTAGGCATCTCTTTAGCTCCACGTTCACTGTTTGAAACAACTCGGTCATGATGAGGACCAAGCTTGTTCCTTTTTTCTCGAGCTTTCTGGACAGCTCGGCTGCAGTTTGTTGACTAAGTCTAGTGATGTTTATTCTCACGTGACTGATCTTGTCACCCTCACATGAGATTATTTAACGTGATTACACGTGTCATAAGGGGAACAACCCTCTTTAGTGGGGTTTCTTTAAACCACATACATTGAAAATTGAACTCAAAACCAAGAGATCTAATCGGAGTGTTTGGTGGAGTCTTTGAAGTTTGATGAATGATGAAATAGGGAAATGGGTATATATGAGTCGGAGGTAGATAACGGTGACTGGTAGTGATTGGGTCATCAGAGGCTTATAACTTTTGATTGCAAACAATTTTGTTTTTTTGTAATTTTGTTGTAACATTTTGATGATTCCTGTGCGAGGCTCATTTGCTTATTACACAGTTTGGGTGCAAATCTTGTGGTCTATTCTTGGATTGATGCATAATTGAAATTTACCTCACTTTATAAAACATAAATGGTCTTCGAAATTAGATGAACTGGATATTGTTTCATAATTGTTCGGGTTTTGTTAGATCTAATATATAACATTAATCATGTTGTTTGTATAATTATAAATCTTTTTTAGCATATTTGTTAGCATTTTTAATTATTATTATTTTTTTTTTGTTATATAACTAATCCAACCAATGACTCAACGGTTAAGCCAATGACTTATTGACTCGATCCCTTTGTCAGGTTGATATTGAGTCGAGTTTTAAAACTATGCAAAAAAGTAATTTTTGCTATTACACCTCTTATTTTATCAACCAAAGCAAGACACACATAAAATAAGTTATTCAATTATTTACTTTATTTTATTTTTTAATCAAGACAAATTTTTTGGCTCACAAAAAAAATGGGTATAGTACGATTTCAGTACTATAGTGATATACTAACATCCATAGTCTTTTCCTATTGAGTTAACTATCTATTTGACCTTTAAATTATATTATTTGTGTCAATTAAGTCTATGAATTATACTTTGTGTCAATTTAACCTTTGAATTATAATATTTATGTTAATATGGCCTTTCCGTCCAAATTCATCGTTAAGTTTAACAAAATTCCGGACGTGCACATCACATGACCCATACCCTAATCCTTGACTCACGTGATGCACACACGTGGAATCTCATCAAAGTTAACCGTAAATTTCAACAGAAGGGGACACAAATGATATAGTTCAGGGGTTAAATTGACACAAAACATACTTCAGAGACTTGATTGACACAAATATATAGTTCAAAGACAAAATAGATAGTTAACTCTTTCCTCTTTATACATTGGACACATATTTATTATCTTACAAAAATTAGGGATAGTAGTAGAATTTGGTCTTCTAAACTTTAATAACCGAATCAGCTTCACGAGAAGTTGAAAAGCTCCATTTTGAGAAGCTATCGAAGGAGGCTTCTTGAAAACATGCATCTAGAAGATGCACTTCCGCAAAAAATCACGTTTGGATGGTGCACCAAACAGTGAAGGCAACAACAAAGCACTTGCATCCATCGTAAGCCTATTTTGATGATCTGCCAAACAAACCCTAGGTGAGCTTAAGTCTAAGATACTTACACTTTCTCTCATGAATTACATCTACTTATTCGTATCATTACTGAATTAAGTATCAAGAATGCCTCTAGTCGGTACCTAACCGGTCTGTGGCAGTTCTCTCCTTCTGCAAGTTATAGACAATTACGAGTGCTTATCCTAGGTATATCCTTTTACTCTGATATATGCAGATTTTTTGCCAACAATTGGTGCTGTCTGTGGCAAGTGATACCAATGAGTACTTGTGGACCAACTTGAAAACGATCAAGCAACTTTTCAATTAAGTAGTTTTCTACCTTGAATGCAAAAAAGAGTTTTGATTACCCTAATCCTCGTATTGCTTGGCTTGCGGATCAGCTATCGCCCCAACAAATTGTGTAACAGATTGGCTATAGCTTCTTGGTTTTGGTGTTGAACCAAGTATTGTCAAGCCGCCTGACCAATCAGTGGAGTATTTGTCTCTCTTGTCACCAGAGATCTCATTTATTTCCACCATGCATGGTGAAAACGGGTTTCCAGAGGCAGCTTCATTCAATGACTATTTCAAAGAAGGAATTTTTCTTGCACCAAGTAATAAATATCGCAAAGATTGGTGTGATCAAATTCTGTTGAACAAATTGCTATCGAGATAAAAGGAAGACTTATTCACACATGGACCTATGCAGTAGCCCAATGGTTTTAATGATAGAAGCAGCCAAATACCCATTATTTGGGTCCCATATAGTCAAAATATCATGTGATGGAATTCTTTTGCATTGTGATTTTCGGCAGTCCAAAATTCATTGACAGTGGATTTAGGGTTTAATTTTTACTTGCATATCCGCACGAACGAAGGCAGATGCAAATCAAATAGTCAGCTTGATAGATCTCAAAATCTTTTACCATATGTTCTTTTATGCCAAAATCCAAATGCAATGTAAGTTGTAATCCTCTAAATTTTCTTCCTGCTTCTTCTTCTTCTTTGTCTCTCTCCGACTCTTTTAAACGGGAAGGTACAAGTGTGGCTGAGAAAACCGAAGAGTACATGTATTTATAGGCTACATTAGAGATCTTAAAGAGAAAAAAGAGTCAGACTTCCAATGGGCCTAGAAATCCTATGTCCAGCTTAGAACACAAATCCTACGGTCCATTAATAAAACTTGTCTACTAAAAACTTATTATTAATCTCTCAGTTCTTATTTTAAAATTATATTTTCAAAAGTTCCTCATTATTAATATGTTTAATAATTTTCTCACGTTTAAAGTTACATATATCTGTTATTTAATTAAACTACTAAAATTATATTTAATTGATTTCTTTTTATCCTTGAGATTTTACCACTTAATTTATTTGTCATGTCAGATAATTAAATCCACCTATAGGGTTTGATATATACAAAACGTATGAGCTTCCTCAAGTGATCATCATCAACCATTTTAAATATCAAGGCGAATTTTATTTAATAATTAATTTTCACCATACAAATAATGTCATACTCCAATTCACTGAATTTATTAATTCAAATGAATATAACTATTTTATGAATTAAAGTAACAATCATTATATACACGTGTCTATTAAATATATCAAAATTAAGAGTTTAAATAATCATAATGGCTATGAGGTATTTATTGTTTTATTTAGTCAAGAAAAAAATAATAACTCTAATAACAGTCATGTTCAATACACAAAGTACACTGGTATACAACAATCCAAAATATTAGATAGTCTCTTGTGGTCAAGATATACTACGCCAGAAGATTGTACTACAATCCTACTTGAAAACATTACAAAATTCAAGTTCAAAAGTTTTTCCTTTGGCCCTGTGACCATTACAAAGTTGAAGAATTCTTATCCACTTGAGCCTTCTTAAGCCAAAGCCTAACCGACCGCTGGGAGATTTATATATGCCATCTTATGACCTGAATTCAAATAGCTACATGGTCATGGAGTTTAATTAACCGAAAAAAGACTCAAGCGGCCAACTATTTGATACGATAAAGTGATTAAAAACTATTCGAAGTATGATATGGACAAACGTTGTCCTCTATCAAGAAAATATCTAGCTCAAGAGGTCAATGACAAAAAAAAAATTTAATCCTAAAGGGAATAAAATACAAATGAGAGGAATTAGAATGTATCACTTAATTCCTAGTGGGCAGCACCCATACAAATAGAGATTGACTCTCTATAAACACCGGCAAAGCCCAAAAATTTAGATATGACATGCGTAATGGAAGTCCGAGGGACAAGGTCATTTACTTCATTGAATAACTATTCTAGAGAAAGTGATATTATTTACTATTGTGAATTGCTATTCATGAACAAATGTTTAGCAGAAAAAAGGTCTTCTTCATCCATGCCCAACGGGATTAATATATCTTGATGTATATGGTGCTCATCCAAATGTCATTCAATATACTTGAGTTGGCATCAAGAAAGAGATTGGTATTAACCATCTAGGCCCACCTAACTTTCATCTTGTGTAGAATGCTCTAAGCCTTTTGAGTTGCTTCACATGTTTAAGCATAGATTGAAGAATTAGTCCATAAATATGATAAGAGGGATGGTCAATCGGCATGTGACTTAAGGCCTACAATCTAACATGCTTTGTTGGGTCATGAACGGACAAATATGCATACTCATTTGAAATACGAATTGGATAATTGAGGCCCAATTCCATATTTTTATGAGGTACAAATTTTTTAACATACAACCATGAAACTAGCAAAATCATAGGAGGAAGGAAGAATGCTTCTCAAATATTTATTAAGTTGTTACCACGGGACTTCTGACGTATATTAGAACTAAATTTGACCACCAAGACGTTTGCAAGGCCCCACCATACCATCACGAGGATGATCCAGCTACAGGCCATGTTCACGATTCCTTTAGTCATACATAATGATACTTCATAGTTATTCATGGGATAATGTCTACCACCCACAGAAGATCGTCATTATTTAACATGTGATCTCTTCATTATATGTGATATTTGCTCTATTTTTCTTATATTATAGTGTCTAGAACATGGTTTATCCTTATATATAGGAGACCATCTTGGACAAAGCAAAACAAGTGAAAACTCCAGTGAGCTTTGGGCAACCTGAGTTGTATTCGCAATTACAAAAAGGATGAGATCAACAACATGGAGCTATAACACTGGACAATGTAAACAAACCGAACAAGTGGTTCGAGAACGCCATAGTCACCATCCGTAAGGAATAGTGTAGCCATTGCACGTTCCCCACCACATGGTGATAGTCGTCAATATCGGTTTTATATTCATCATCTTGGTTCACAGGTGATCGGCTTGGTCTCAAGTTAAAATATGCTCGGGTATCCTCGGTGGCTCCCTTAAATGTTTTTGCCGTTCGGAGCCAATTAGATTTACCAACATGATTGGATCAGTGCTGCCACACTTTTAGTTCGGTCCCTCTCACCCTGTATAAATCTAAGCAAGCATTGACTGAGCACAATTGGAGAGCAAGTCCCCCTACGGTTGTGGAACAAATAAATCCAAAAAGGGTAGGCATATGCTTCGAACTTTAATCAATTTAAGGAATGACTGGCATGCATCACTCGAACTCGGGATAATTACTCGACCATCTCAATCATTCTACTTTGATCAATAGCTACATGACATTTTCATATTGCAATAACTACAAGATCGGTAGTTAAAGGTACTAAAGGATTTCTAATACCGATGAGACCAACAATTATGCTGAGAATAAATATTGCAATATCTTGACATAAGTGGGTCATCTTGTTGTTATTGTGAGTGGGCAATTCCATTATGATAATGGGTGAAAATGGAAAGAATTCATTTGATATATTATGTCGACAAATTGGTCAGCATATGTCCTTGATCAACTCGATACACTATTCGTATGATCAACCCCACGTCAAAACATCATACCCCGATGATGAATATTCACAGTGGCACATACCTGAAGAACATCGAGTGTACGGGTTTACTGCAACATCAAAATTATGATCAAGCTTTACCCTAGGAGGACACGACGCCTGTCTTGAACAGACAGCACACCAGAATGCCTTTGGTAAGGTGGAAAAAATCTCTAACAAGGAATGGGACATGCTGTGTGAGACCCAACTATTAGGCATGGAGGCCATGGGCCTGACCGAGCTGCCCCAGATGGGTCCCAACAAACTCAAAGACCTGTGTACTAAGCAACCAATCAGATGATACCATGAATCTGAATTAAATTCTCTTTCATATTTCACTTTGACAACCCAACTCGACCACGAAGTTCAGAGTTGACATGACCAATCAATAGTATGAGTCACTTGCTTACATAATCAGGTGCTGGCATAATCTAGTGCAATTCGGTTATAAAGTTTAGCCAGACTGAGCTTCTCACCTTAACAAATCTCCCGAAAAGGAAGCATCTCTCAGACCTCCGAATGATACCTAATCAGCTCAGTTAATGGCCACGAAAGTTCATAAATGTGCATCTCAGAGGAAGAGTTTAGTCCATCAAGCCAGACCAAACTTGGGCACAAAGGCAACTCCTCCAAGATGACACCTCTTCATTTTTTGAAGGGCACGTGCAATAATGTCAGAGATCTTCTAACCAAAAAATATTCTTTTCATGATTTTAATTGATTGAGAGCCACACAATCTCGGATAAAGACAAAAGTTAGTCTTTATATAAATAGGAGAGGATACCCCATGTAAATGATTGTTGAATTCTATTCTACCAATCTTTTTTTCGAAGCAATAAAAATAAGTAAACAAGAGACTCCATTAGAGTAGAATCAACCAAATGAACCATGGTAATCTGTGGATAAGAGCTGCTCAGCTCCACACCTACAAAACTATCACTCACTCACATGCATACATCCACCCACCTTCGGAAAAATCCAACCACCACAATAAGTGGTGGACCTACCTAGCTTTGAGGAAGAACTCCATTACAGAGGAAGCCTAAAGAAAGGTAATTTTATCAATGCCAAAGCCAGGGATGTACAATTCCAAGTTGAAGATTTAGGATAGAACATGATCAATTTGATCGCCGATGCCGAAGGAATGTGTAACATGATTTTAGAGCTCAACAATAAGATTATCGCAATGGGTTTCCACTTTCGCACATCTTATTCAATGGATTTTCATACGACATTTGGTTACCCGTTGGATCCATAAAACGAATCTTGCTCAGCTCTCCCCCGAAGAATATAGATGGAGGCAAGGACAGAGCTGTTAGTAGACTCTGGTGGGCTAAAGCCCAGAGTAAAAAAAATAAAAATTATTACTTTCATATGTATTGCAATCATTAGCCCAACATGCACCATGGTACCAGACCAGTTTTTGTTTTACCTTGGACAAGTCAATCTAAGATCAACAAAATGAAAGGCTAAGTCAAGCAGATACGAGACCTAATATATAACATTGATCTCTTATTGGTATTGGGCTTAGTGGTCACTTCTGTGCTAATTTGGAGCTAGTATCAATGGTTGCTACCAAAAACTTACCAACTAATCACCATCAGGTACATCTTAAAATTGCTCTTTTCAACTTATCAAAAAAAAAAATTTATTTCTTTGTTACGTAATGTTTTAGTTATAAAATAAATCACTAATCATTAGTCTAATTTCCCAAAGCCCTTAAGACTTAAGGCCCAATGAAAAGTTATATAGTAGATTCAAAGAAGACACAATGAAATTGCTTATGCTCAGCTCTACTTTAGATTCTCGGGACAACTTTA